GGGGGACTGACATTGGTTCCAAAAACAACTTGGCAGCATCTTTATCTGAAATTCTCTTGTTTAGACCATCCAGTTTTCACAGTGCTTGAAACTGCTATAAAGTTACCCCAGAGAGATTTCAAACTCGATTCCTTTCACCACCTTACAGGTAAAATACATTGAATTTCCCTTGTCGCAAGAAAATTAAGTACTAGAGGATTACTCAAGCTATTTCCTTGCATAGCCTACCTAAAGTCAAGCTATCAAGAGGAGGTCATGCAGACGCTTCAGGGAAGGCAATGTCCTCCTCAAATGTGTTGTGTTGCTCATTTTAACCTGTTTGAAACTTGAGTAAGATGTAAGACTGTCCACCAGAAGAGAAAGGAGGAAACTGAAACCAGATTTGCATATGGAACTAGTTTTCAAAGTCTCACCACTTCACAGTGGTTGAGGGTTAAATGATAAACATCATTTAAAATATGTTTATATTAAGGGAAACATGGCTATATTTCACATTAAACATTTGAATAAAAAACTGTTTGGATATGGTGGCTCACACCTATAATCCTAGCTCTTGAGAGGCTGAGGCAGGACTTGGAATGGACCTTGAGTTTGGGACTATTCTGGGTCACATAGTCAGTTCCAGGCCAGCCAGAGATACAATGTGAACCCTTGTCTCAAAAAATAAAAATTAGAACATGAGAGTTATACATTCTCTTTCTCTGCTTAGAGTACTGGGGTGAAAAAAATTTAGACACAATGATTGGCGAAAGTGAAAGCTGCCCTTCTTCCACATTTCTACCACTGAGCAGAAATCTGTCATGTAAATAAGCCAAAAAGATCGCATGGTGTAACTACATCTATGTGTTCTGCTTCATCTGTGTGGACTTGCTATGCTCACGGTGTGTTTTTTTGCAACATACATTTCAGAGTATTCTATAGACAATAAGGCACAACTTCTATAAAGTCTACAGTCATGGTTCTAGTGTCTAAACCTAAACTATCCTTTGTATAGGATCAGATAATATGTAATATTAAAACAACCACTTAATAAAGGCAACTAGATCCATATATATAAGAAAGATATATATATATCAGATAAGATATATACCAGATATATACATCAGATCATATATATATATATATATATATAACAGAAAGCTGTAGTGGAATTTTAAGAGCATTCTTCATCAGGGTCCCCTAGTTAAGATGGAACACTCCAGTTTCAACTACACCCATGGGATGTTTTGGAAAAGGGTGTAAGGCTTCAAAGTGATGACTCACATGGTCCAATCACAGAGACATATTCTGAAAAACAGTTCCATGATGAAAACTCATTCTAAAACAAATGGGCATTTTCTCACACTGCAGTGAGGTACACAGGTCCAGGAAATAATTTTCATATCTCCTTTTTCCCCATTTATTGCCATCAGCTGCCTTATATATCCTCACCATTCCCAGAAGAATCAGCTCGCACCCAGGCCTGGTCCTTTATACTTTTGGTCCTTCAACATCTCCATACTTTGCCATCATAACATACTCACAAATTTACAAGCAAGATGAATTCTGCTTACAGTGTGGAGAAGAGGAAGAGATGAGACACCCACATCAATAGAAGAGGGGAGAGGAAGCACACACTCTCACAATGATAACCCTGCACTCTGCCCTACTAAACACTGCCCCAGCACCCATATAGCTGTTTATTATTACTGTCGCTGTTGTTATTTACTAGCTGTCTGATCTTGTTAAAGTTACTTTACAGTCACATGCTTCCATTTCGTCTCTGAATAAGAACATTTAGTCCTAATGACAGGGTCAAGGTGAGATTTACATGGTTGATACATGGGAAGTCCTTAGAACAGAGCAAGCTAATTAGTGTGAGCAGTCTCTGGGTTTTATCCATAGGAAAACACCTCAGGCTTGTCCTACTCTGTGAATTTGGAGTGGGTGTTAGGCCAAGTCAGCTAACAGATGCCTCATGGAGCAGATGTCTAACTAATCCACAAACTCCATTCACCCCTCCCTCTTCTTATTCCAAACCCCCACTTCTCCCTCTCCCCAACCCCTCTCCATAGCCACCTCCAAACTTGCCACTTGGCACCTCTTTGGCACTTACCAAGAAACACAACAGTCACATCTCAACAAAGTTAATTTTGCTACAGGTGGTAGCAGCTGTTCACAATATTGCTCTTCATCTTCTAGAAATTTCACAACAATCTATGGTCAGCTAGCAGAGCTCTCTCATGGATTATTCCCTATGAGGGTCATTTACTACTCTATGTTTTTTGTCTGCACCATTTGAGGAGATGTGTTTAGTATACTCTACCTTCTTGAATCAGAAGCTCCCTGGAATACAAATGACTTTCCCCTCTCAAGTTTAGAATTATTTACACTCTTGATAGAATTTATAGTCACAGATTTCCATCTTAAGAAATATTCTTTGATGCATATATGTTTGTTTTTTGTTTTGAGACAGGATCTTCCTGTAGCCCTGGCTAGCCTGGAACTCACTATGTAGACCAAGCTGGACTTGATCTCACAGAGATTCACCTATATCTGTGTCTGGAGTGCTGGGACTAAAGGCATGTGCCACCACGCCCAGCCTCTTTGATTTTTATTAAACAACAACAAAAAAGCCTATCACAATATTAAAGCGATCTTAATCATTGTGTCTACTTATGAAAACTATTTGGGAAAAAAAGTCACTTAAAAAAAGCTCTGCTTTACCCTCTTTCCCTGTCTCAGAATATTTGAGTAAACTAACAAATGTATAAGGATTATGAACAGAGAATTTTGGAGGAAAGGGTTTTATTCGCAATTGCACTTTCAGGTGAGCCTAGAAAAGCTAGCAGGCTGATTGGGTATTCTACTTGGTTCATTAGTAGGCATATCTTTCAGCAACTTGTAGCAAACCAACCTAATTGAGTTATAATGAGTCTGTTCTTCCACTGTGCTCATTTTCTTAAAAAAATAAATCTATGGACGTTCATGAATAGCCTTCTACATTATACAGTTTGGGGCTAAGTACTGAGCCTGCAGAGTCACCTGTGTGGCAAGTGGAAGACCTTGACATAGTACCTCTTTGTTGCATTCAACAGCAAGTGGCACTTAGAATATCTGTCTACTAATACTGTATGCATGGGGTAATTGTTTGGGAACCTAGCAGTGCTTATTTAAAGGGTGGGGACTCAGTATAATTAGATAATTCAAAACTAGCTCAGCTTTGCCATGGGAAATCTCATGCAAAGCACTGTTGGTCTTTAGGTGATTTATCAGGCAATTCTCTATTAGTCCATAATTCTCTCGAATTTTCCTTATGTTTATGGTATATAAGTATCTCTAATGGGGAGTATAAACCTACAAGGGATGGAAGTTCTGTGCACCTGAGTATGCGGAAAAGAGATGGAACATTCAACAAAAACAACAGTCTTTGTCTCCAAAGTTCCAGGTTGAAGGGTTTCTGCCATCAGCAGCAGCAGCAGCTGCTCACTGCTCCCTGTAACTTGTATTTCCCCTAAATCTACATCATTAAGATACAGTGTGTTATGGACTGAGAAGAAAGTTTGGGAGGAAAAAAATTCAAAGATTCAGTTCATGATTTAGAGAAGTTTGTAATCTGTCACTCTCACTGTTCGTCAGACTAAGCCTCTCAATCTCTATATGCATTGTTGTTTTGAATTAGCTGTGCAGTTGGTAATTTAACATTGTCAATTACAACTTTACATTTTCTATCTGTCCCAGAATAGCTGGGTTTAAAAGAACTGATGTAAATAATCATCCAGATTACATTGATGATAAGAAATATATACGTTACATATTGAAAGGCAGATGATAAAAATTCATTGCCGAGAACCAGTTAGCCAGAGGAAATGGTAAAGCACTCCTTCTGCCTGCTACTCTGCAGCTTGGCCTAATATTTACAGGTACCAATGAAGAATTAACCTATGACCGATGACGGGGAAAAACTTGAGTAGGTGGTAATCAGGGGAAAGCTAAGTAAGGACTGCTACCTCCACTCCCTGAATGGAAGAGGACCCAGGGAAGAGGATGTTTTCAGATAAATAAAGGATGAAGCTTCACACACGTACACTGGGTGTCTGAACCTACCAGGAATCTGAGTCAGCCTCTCTCTGTTGCTATAGCTTGATGGATACTGTTTGAAGCCTGTGCTCACTGAGGAAGATGTATGCAATAGATTTTTAGAGTTTGTTAATACTTATTCCAAAAAATGTAATTGAGATGAGGGGAAGAAGATGGAGGAGGAGGGCCAACTAAAACCTAATAGGTATGAAAATTACATAAGGAAATTTGCTATTTTACACAAAAGAAAAACAAATGAAAAGTTGGGACCAGGAGGATGACCTCTTTGCAAGCATTCTAAAATATATAGTTTACCTCTGACAAACTGTTTTTTAACACAAACCCAAATATGTAATGTAATACAATTGTGTTATGTGAAAACTACTTATAGGGCTTATAAGAATGAATACCTTGTGAGCCACAGTGATGGCTGGCAGCATAACACAGGATTACAGTTGTAGGATGAACATAAAAATGCAATTGAAAGCTGGAGAGATGGCTCAGTGGTTAAGAGACTGGCTACAATTGCAGAGGACCCAGGTTTGGTTCCCAGCACCCACATGGTGGCTAACAACCATCCTTAACTCCAGTTCCAGGAGATCCAACATTCTCTTCTGACCTCCTCAAGCACTGCATGACACAGGTACACTTACGAACATGCAGGCAATACACTCATACACATACAATAAAAACAGTAAATAAAAAAATTTTAAATGTAATTGACTATTTAAATAAGAGCAAGGCCCTTGAAAGTGAGAAAAGCTACTTGGTTTTATTAATGTTCTTACCCATTGAAAGCATTTTTAAGTTTTCTCCCTGGAGATACACACATAGACACACATATACACACACATACACACATATATACACACACATACACACACACACACACACACACACACACACACACATACACACATACACAAACTACAAACTACACACAAGATTTGAATACCTGGTTTATTAGGGGATGTTCATAATGAAAATTGCAATTGCCTATGCTGTGACTTACAAAACAATAATCTGATATATAAAATGAACTTGTTTCATTATGTAAGCATATATTGTAAAAAAATAATAACCCATCCAATATATATTCAAGGAAACACATCCCTGAATTCTCCTGTTGCATGTCTTAGATCAGACATTTTAAGTCTGCTTACCAAGGAAGACCAGGTTTTTTTTTTAATTATTATTATATTTAGGTTTCTGATACCTTTAAAAATCTATCAGAATTATGTCTATCGTTAGAGCCCAGTTAAGACTGAGGTGAAGAATTTAAGACATTTCTTCTTCTTGGGCTGTTTAAAGGGCACTTCTGTGACAGTGACAGCCCTAATGCCTTATTACATGACATCATCACATCCAGCAGTCGGGATGAATTAGACCCAGCCCATCTTCCCATTCAGTCTACACTGGTCCTGAACATAGAGACGCAAAACTGCACAGATTTGTTAATATAACATCTTCCCACACCCTGACCCTCTAAACTGTGTTAAAAGAGGAAATTTATCTTAGCATTTCACCAGGGTCAGAGGCCTTATACTGTAACTTGCTTTGGCTATGTGAAAATACTTTCCTACATGTTATAGCAAGCCAATATAAAGCCTAGCAAAGCAGCAATTGTTAAGATTACTAACTAGAAATTCTCACAAATGATTTAGGAAACATTTTGCTTCTTCAAGTAGCTGAAAATTTGAAAAAGTTTTTTTGTTGTCGTTGTTTTGCACTAATTTCAGAATATTTGGCCACTAGCAGCTTTTACCAATAGCGTCCCTTCTCCTTATCCCTTAGAAGAAACAATCCACTTGATCTGGAAAAAACACAGGCTTGATCAGATTACTGAAGCTCAGAAGCCATCTCATTTCTAGCTTATTAAGGTTCATGCTCATATTCTTTTATAAATGCTATAGATTTTGTATAAGGAAATAGCATATAATAACTAGAAAACAAACAAGTTTCATTTAACTGCACAAAACATACACAGGATATGAAAACTATAACACTATTTATGAAGTATTTTCTTTAGCATTTATTTCAACATTTCTGGTGAAACGAACATTGCCGAAACATAAATTCCTTGAGGCTTGGAGAACAGTTTGCCAGGATCCATCTTGTAACCGAGCTTCTCAGTGTCTCCCTTCCACATTAGGCAGATGTGTAGAAGTACCTGGGCTTGGCATTGCCTAGCAGGTCATCTTCATAGTTGGGGAGACAGCAGAAGAAGAAAGCACAGCCAATCAGGATGATCGTTGCCGCCCACCCGAAGCCATAGGCCCAGTTATAGATGTAAGTGACACTAGGGTTGGCATGAAGGCTGAAGGTCTGTGTATACTTCACAGGATAGATTACCAGGGAGATGATCTGGAATACAGCTAAAGGAAAGGAAACAATAAGCCCAGAATATGAATGCATGAATGAAGGAATACATGAATGAATGCACAGCAATACCTTCATTCACAAAGTTTCTGCCTTTAATAAGAGTGGATCCCTCTAAAAAGATGCATCTAGCTAACCATGAGCCAAACTGGGTGAGTGGCTATTGTGCGTAAGAGATCCTGGGAATTGAGTAGTGTCATGCACATACACTGATGAGGGGACACAGAAAGCAGGTAGATTTGTGAGTCTCTAACTTTGACCTAAAATGAAAAGTACAACATTGTGTTGTACAACAGAGAGCAGGATACTAAAGAATCAACATTTTAGGCTTTATATTTTCTGTACCAAATTTAATTAACACATTCAGCAACAGCAAAAAATGTATACACACATACATGTACACTTGTGCTCAGTGCTATAGTCACTAATACACTACTGGAAGGTTCATCCAAAAGGTGAATGACAGAAGAATCAATGAACCAGTGGTGGAGGTGATGCATGTGGAAAATCACCAGGGAGACCCATAGAGAGGGTAAGCTTCTGAAGAGCACAGGGAGTGGAGGGGCAAGGGGAAGGGCATCCAGGTAGAAAAAAGAGAAAAAACAAAGAAGATATGCACAGTAGTTTGGGGAAGCACAGGGAAGAAGGTAGAAAGGATGTGTATGTCAAGATTCGTAAACTCTTTGGTGTAAGAGTCACACAGTGATAATTGTGATTAATTATCTTTAAGCAAATTTAAAATAACTTCATTAGGTCTACTTCTGGAGTCTTTTCAAGGACCATGAATTAATCTATATAGTAATACAGAAGCTGTGTTCTGCATTTTTTTTAATTTAGCACCTGCTGTATACACTGCTATGTTACAGGCTATGAACAGATTTTTCTTTGATAGCATTAAGACATTACTTTTCATAGGGAGGGACCCACAGGCTGTGGCCCAGAGATGTACCAGGCAATGTCTAGTCTTCACCACTGTCTTGTTTTTTTTTCTACTAGTTCCACATATAAACACTAAAGTAGTTTCCTATTTTGTCTGTCTATCTTTCTTTCTTTCTCTCTTTCTTTCTCTCTCTCTCTTTCTTCCTTCCTTCCTTTCTTGTGGTTTTCCATTCCCCCCTCCCTCCCTCCTTCTTCCCTCTCTCTTTCTCTCTCTCCTGCTAGAAAGCCTGCACATGTTTCTATATCTTGATTTGCTGCTTCCTTTCTCAACTGAATGAAATGTTCCTCCTCTCTAGCCATTCCTGAAGGGCAATCTTGAGGCAGGTCTTAAAACAGTGTGTATATTTTAAGCAGCAAATGTACTTGTTCAGTATTCCCTTTGCTGCACACAGCACATAAGACACAAAGCAATCCTTCTCTATGTTGACCACCAGCTTTCCTAGCAGTAAATGTTAAATATTGTTTATCATTGCTTTGAACGACTTTTACAAATTTAAATTACACCAGTGTTTATTTTTCCTGATTTAATCTAGTGTGTCTGAGTTGGGGGGGGTGCATGTTTGTGTGTAAAATTAAAAAGAACTGTTGCTATAACATACATCTTAAAAACCAAATAGACCTTGGTCAATATTATTGCCACTAAAAAAATGTACCCTAGAACTTAGTTCTATACAGTTTCAGCCCTGCTTTCCTGTCAGTTTGGACAGTTATTGCTAGATCTAGTTTAATTCTAAGAGGGAACACAGAGTTTTATTATGATATTTTTCAGTATGGTAAAATACAAACAGCACAATATTTATAAATTTAACATTTATATTTACTACCACTGTCTATATCTAAGACCTCCCCATCTACACACACTTTCTATCCATTAAATAAATGAACTTCCTTAGCCAGGCATGATGGTAACACACATCTGTAGATCTTTAACCCTAGCACTCAGGAGGCTGAGCCAGCAAGATTGGGACTTCAAGGCCAGTCGGGCCTTCACGGCAAGAGCCTGTCTCAAAAAGAAAGAAAGGGCTGGGAGGAGGAAAGAAAAACAGGAGAGGAGAGATGGGAAAGAAGAGGGAGGAGAGAGAGGGAGGGAGGAGAGGGCATGAGAAGGGCCGGGAAGGGTGAAAGAATTCCTATCTCCCAGCCGCCAGCTCCTGCTAACTTCTATTCTGCTTTCTATAAATTTGAATTTTCTAGGTACTTCATATAAATAGGATCATATATTTGTCCTTTGTGTGTCTAGCGTATTTAACTTGGCATAATGTCTTCAGGGACCTTTGGGCTAGTATGAATAATGCTGCTGTGCATAAAAGTTACAAATTCACATTCAGGGTCCTACCTTTAATTCTTTTGGAAATATACTTAAGAGTAGGCTTACTGGATCAAACAATTTACTAGTATTCAACTCATTAGTGTCCCAATGTACTATTCCTAAAGGCAATTTAAGCAGGCACCATCTTGTCTTCTAAGACATACAAGGGCATGATGAATCAAACATGTTTCTGGGATAAGTTCTATAAATTTGCAGTATGAAAAGTCAAACAGAAGGTAAAGTGGGATTTGACAAGTTCTTCATATCTTTCATGATTCTGAATCATTTCTGATTTTAAAATAATATTCAAATGGTGACCCTTTTCCAAGAATATATAAGAGAGCACAACTGCTGTGGGTTTTCCATGGAGATACATAAAGATGGCATGGAACATTCTATTGACACCCAGTGAAGGTATGAGTGAAGAACTGATGCTATCCAGTCTTACCAGCCAGAGCCAGGAGGCCTCCAATCACTCGAAGGAAAACAAGCATCTGGGGTCCGCATAGGGCAAAGAAGGAGAGGATGAAACAGATGACCAGGATGATGAAGCCGCAGAAGAGCATGGCAGCGGCCGCTCTCCCCCATGCTGCAAGACAGAAACAGGAATTCATCAGACAGGCATTCAAAGTCAAAGGCTGCCTGCCTGTCAGATATACATATGCACACCGGGGAGGGAGAGGCAGGTGGATCTCTGTGGCACTGAGACCAATCTGGTCTACAGTGCAAGTTGCAGGCCATTGGGGCTACAGAGACTCTGTCTCAAAACACCAAATGAATGAATGAATGAATGACATAAATGTATGGCTTTATTTTTTTCTACAAAGTCTGGAGGAGAGGAGTAGGCTTTTTGTTTTGTTTTGTGAGGATTTTGGAGAATATTGAAGTATCTCCTCAATTCAAGGGGAAAGTTCATACAAAGGATATTAATTAGTATATTGAGACTTTTAGGAATGCTTTCTTCCTCTAAGTATTGGGGCAAAGGCTACATTTCAAAATTTTAAGCTCAGGTTCATTACAATTTCTCATGTAATAAATTTCTCACATAAATAGGTCAATTTCAAATGGTTATCTAGATTTGAATACAACATGACCATGATAAACATTCTTGGTACCAAACAATTCAAGTTACATACTTTTTAGGAAATATTTCAAATATCTTTAAAGGATATATATTTTGGTTTCATGCAAAAATAACCACTGAAAATACTTATTTGCAACTAGACAAAGATGCTAAGTAACAGTAGACACATTTTTATTATGCAAGTTTGGAGAAGCTAACCTTTCTAAATTCTGCCTAAATTCTCACTTCTGATGTATTCGTAATTTATTGCACAAGAGTTCTTAACTATGGACTTTGGTATTAAAAAGAATTCGGTGAGGCAGAAATTGACTTCTAGGTTTGAAAGCCTACCTGGTCACTTCTAGCCCTATGTCACACAAGACAGGCACAAACCATTCCATTCAAAAATCCCTATCCTTCCTTCAACCTGTACTGACTCCTCAAATCTCTTCACATATAACCATGTCTCCAGAGTTGGTAATTAGCATCAGGACAATCACTAAATCCTCACAACTTCTTAAGGCTCACAGTATTCTGGCTTCTAGTTTAGAAATGAGGGACTATACAGAGAGTAAATACTTGGATTTCCAGCCTGTCTGAATTCAAAACATAGCTTTTAAAATAGATATAATTCATAAACCATTAAGTGCATCCACTTAAAGTGTACAATTCCATGATTTTTGTGTTAGTTCTTGTTGAATTATGCTACCATCACCGCAATTCCAGGACATTTTCATCACCCCCACTCCCCAAAACCTCACACCCATGTGCCTTCACTCTCTATTTTGTCCCTTACCAACACCAACTCAAGTTCTGGCAACTACTAATCTGTTTCTCTAAATTTGCCTATTCTGGACATGAATGGAACCTTAAACTGTGTCACCTTTTTTGACCACCTTCTTTCACAAACCTAAGTTCTTAAAAAATGATCCATTTCATAGTAAGAATCATTTCATTCTTTTTCATGACTGGACGTTTTATTGTCTAGATATCACACATTTTCTTTCCTCACTCATTTGTTCCTGGGGGAGCATGTGCTCTCATCTTATCCATTGTCACATTTGGAAAGGAGAATTATGGACACCGCCCCCACACCAGGTTTTATTTTGACTCACTAAAATACAGCAGAGCTGTCAATACTTTCACTACACGCTTGGTCATTTGAATGCTCAAAGGCAAGCACTGGAACAGGCTCACGGAAAAGCAAGGATTTTGGAACCAGCTGAATCTCACCGATAGCCTGCCTCTCACCCCCCATTAGCCACATGCCAGTCTCCTCATCTGTGAACTCTAGCTACAAATATCTGGTTCAGAGTTGTTATGGGGCTCTTGTGTGAAAATCATCAGTTGATAATTCTTCACCTCTTATTGCTTCAAAATGTTTCTCCCCTGTCCCCATAATTTTTCTCCAGGACCTCAGATTTTCATTATATTCCACACTGGCAAGGTTCCGCATTGTCCCAGAGAGGTGGCTCTTTGGTCATCCAGTGCAATTTCCTATCTTCACCTGTCACAGACAAGTGTGGGCTAAGTTCCCATTCATTCCTTTCTCCAGCTCCCTCTTGCCTTCCAGGGCATCCTCAAGGCATGACTGACTGGGATATAACAGATGAGTAAGGAGAAGAAACATTTTTATATGTCTTATAAATACTATGTTTTTCCTCAAATTACCCCTTCTTAGTGGCACTGGTCAGGGGGTGGTGAGATGCTTCTCGGTTGAATCCAGGTTTGATAGTCATGGTTTTTACTACAAGTCTTCTTGTCAGATCAATGAGAGATTTTAGGAATAGGGTAGCACAACAATGTTTTATTTTAAAATAGAAATGAATAAAGTCAAAGTCAGAATATACAATTTAATATCTTTTTTCTCACTTTTGCCTTGTCCTTCAAGGGAAGTTTTAAAAGAGAAGGGACCATGCTTTGGATGGAGAATTATTTAATAAAATCTCAAGGTATAGCCTATAGGCACACGGTCTTATTAAGCAATGGGGCTTCTTAAAATACAGAGTCCTGTGGCTCCTTCCAGACTTACTGAATTAAGGCATTAGAAACTGTATCTAGTGAGCTTCATTTCAGTAGCACTGTGTTCTTTAGATGCATACTAAAGACTAGTTTTTCTTCTAATTTTGTAGTCATACACAGAATAGCTGGTTTCACTGTGACATGTGTATATGTATGTATACATCTATGCATATACATAATTGTGCTTGGCTCATCTTCACCCCCACTGTTCTACCACAGCCTGCCTCCCCTTCCACCTTCTAAAATCTCCCCGGCTTTTGATGTGTGTGTGTGTGTGTGTGTGTGTGTGCAGTTAAATCTCAATTTGAATCTGAAAGAAAAATGTCTTTCTTTTCCCCTGACATCACTCTATTTTTCCCTTGTCTTTTTGTTTAACTTTGTTTTTCCTCTGTCAACATACTAAAACTTGAGAATAAGTAAATCAGATGACTGAACTCTATAAAATGGAGTGCCTATCCCCCAAACCACATAACTTTTAGTATGTGACCCAATGTCAGTCTCTTTCTTAGTTATTCGTTTATTAAGTTTAATAAACCAGCCATTAAGTTTAATAAAACTAATCATTAAATTCAAATAAGCAAAAGCTCATTTTCCTTCTGTGAAATTCATGAGCTAAAAATCGTGCAGCGGAAAGGCATGTGTGCAAAGAACACAAACAACAAAACTGCATTGCGGAGCAGAAGGGCAGATTTTAGTGACCACAAGAAAACTTCCCAACAAGGAACATATTTCAATAGCTGAACTTCTATGAGCACACATTGATGTTTTAAAAGTCTAGCTAAATAAATTATGTGTACTATTGCTGGAAAGGTAGTTAGTGTTAATTTTGCCTTTTCATTTGAGGAAAAATAACACAGATTACTGCTGTTACTTTTTCTGACATTTTAGCTGAAGTATAAGTAAGCACTTAGTTTCAGGTACTTGAAAGGAATTATATAAAGGAAATCATGAAATAATACA